CATACGCCTAGAGCCTATCTCGTAAAAACCAATTTCCATAATCTCAACTCAAAAGTACAGCCACTCTTTAAAAAGTTTTCCGTGCAATGTCAAACATAGGGCGGAGGTGGTGTAATGGCAAGCAGTACACTATCATGGGGACCAAACCCTGGACCTATAGTAACCCATCCTCCGAAGTCGATCGTTTGAACGGCATAAGACCCATCTGGGAGGAAAAAAGCACTGACATTCACATCAGCTGGCCACCGAAAGTTATCGCAAGGACCATCTAGGCATACAAAAACGTCACCACGATTCTGAATGGAAGTCGAATGCGAGATACATACCGAGGACGAGATTGAATTTTATGTCAGCCATAGAAGGAAATCTACAGGGAATCACAGCGCATGGCGGGTGTGAGAGGGAAGAAGGATACCCACCAGGTGGTTGACTTAACCCACTGACTGCACAAGTAGCTAGGTACGCAGTTCTGATCTATGCGGNCTACAGGGAATCACAACGCATGGCAGGTGTGCACAGGGAAGAAGGATACCCAGCAGGTGGTTGACTCAACCCACTGACGGCACAAGTAGCTGGGTACGCAGTTCTGATCTATGCGGTCCATGGTTCATGAATTCGGTGAATTCAGTGCAAGTCGTGTACATCTCTTTCACATTCTAGCGGTTCCGAGAAAAGACAGTTGTCATTCATTGCATTGGCAGCGTAGAGCTCAAAAACTACTTCTCCTCTAAGTTGTTCCTTTAATGAATGAGCGACTGAAGAGCTGATGTATGTCCATCAATTCGTTGCTCTGAACTGATGTCATGCGCTTGTTTTGGCATCTTATAAAGTAGAAAAAGGCAGTCGCGCGTCGGGAAAAGCGCTGAAGTTACTGAGTGTTCTTTTTGCTAGAATGATTGAAAGCTGGGTATTGGCTGACTGAAACATATTTGCTGATGGACATGTAGATGTATCTCTATGAAAAGCATCTTTTAGCTATGCCCTGCTCACAATCGCCCCAAAAGAAAGAGGAGAAGCTGCCGATGGCCGTTAGACCCAAACGGCCGTCCCCTACCAGGAAATCGCGCCCCAATGCAAGCTTCCGCTCCATAGCCAAATCCAGTTCCTTCGTTGCGGAAAACGCGCCCTAATGCAAGACGTCGCTCCAGAGACTATTTGTATGGTACAGAGTTTTATTTTTAACATGCTTCTATTTTCAGAGATAATCTCACTTGAAGAGGGGGGGAAGCTTCTATCAAAGGGAAGAGATGCTCTAACAGAAGTAAAAAATTCCCGGAAGGACAGTGATTTATACGGTGACGTTGAGAATGAAGAGACATACCTGGAATACTCCAATCAGTTTACATATCGGTGCAGGAAATATCCATTCCCTTGTGAAAATGCTGACCGCTGTCCATGGTAATGAGGTGAGTGACATGAGCATATCGGAAACGGCAAGACATCCTATGAATACGCTTCGTACCGATAGCGACACCTGGAACTAATCCACTCGAGTGAGCAAAATAATTAAAAGCATGAGAATATTTTGTGAACCATAAGAATACGATTTCCTCAGAATATGATTACCATTAAACCTTCTCAAGAAACTTCTCACTACAAATGCCCTGCAATCTGGGTAGCAATCGTTTTGTAGTTCGGTTTGCATGAATGTATTCTGGGAGTAGGTGGGTACGAACTGAAGAGAAATCTAGCATTGGGAAGTCCCCAAGTCAAGGTCCGATAAATGGTAGTTTTCTATCTCGTGGCCCAAAAACTGAAGCCGTTAAAGGATGGATAGCGCGCGTTCATGTCCCAATAGCTGGATTGGTCAAGGAAGGAAATTTCACCCATTTAGTCTTCAGCTTCCAAGTGCAGAACACTAACGAACGGGAAAACCGAAGTGGCTGACATATGAAATTGAAGTCAAACCAGTGAACAGCAACGGGACCTACCCGAACGGGCTTCCGTTCTCTAGATGAATGGGATGGTTTTATTCAGTAAAGAGCTACTCAGGTAGCCACAGTTGGCAGCGATAAGTATCATTCCCTGTCACAGGTTGACACTACTTTTCCTTCATGTTCTGGGTGATAAAAGAATAAAAGATGGCGTATTTGATTGGGCAATAATCAACCCGGTCTGGAGAATGATCCAACGGATTGGACTTCCATAAAGATTGCGGGGACGCATTGAATGCGCGTGAGTTACAATGACTTGCGGTGGCCAGAAGATGAACGGGTTAGTACTTTTACCCTCGCAGACAAGTCTGGTACCATTGACCAACCTCGGTGGGGTAGAAGGGTTGGTAGCGTGGGCGACTATCGATCCCGGATTCAAAAAAGTAACCATGTGTGTGCGATAGTATGCCGCCACATCACCTCCGCTCCGATATCAGAATGACATGGACAACGGCTAGCTTAAGCCATTAGATACACCACACATGCATTCAAAACACCCCTCGATTTCCAACGGTAGTCGAATGTAGGGCGCACCACAGGATAGGATTGATCAACACCAGATAGACTTACATTCTATACTCATGTGGCGCTGGGAGTCGTATCCTGTATAAGCTAATAGAACCTTCTCTAGCTTGGTAACTATTAGAAGTAATCAGTCTGTTATTCAGCGCTGTTACCCTTGAAGTATTTGGAAACATTCTTGGAGGACAAAGAACACACGGCGCAATCTAAAGTGATTGTTCACGACTCTCAACACTTCGTTCATCATCCTGTTGCTTACTATCAGACTATGTTTACAAAACAAGTCCAAAAATCTAAACAGGTGTGTTCATTAGTCAAAAGCAACGTCAAGTGGAAAGCAATGCAGAATGGAAACACGATCTGTCTTCTCTTTGCAATTAGAGACGCTCCCTGCACATTGGCAGGGGACAACAGGTAAACGCTAATCGACCAGAGTTGCCCTCGATTCTGGTATGTACATCGTATCTTGGCTCCGAATAATTCGATCAGAATCAAGGTCCGAAGCCGGAGGAATCCAGAACTGGGTAAACTCTACAATGACAAGAGTTTCTCTCCAAACCATGCTCTGAAGGAAGCTTCTCCGCGTTCGAAGGTTGATGGTGACTTCAAATGCGCCATAGACTTTTTTATTATTGGAAATTACGCAGGTGTTCCAATGTACTTATGGACTGGAGGATTATCCTCCCTGTGTAACAGCGTATACACGGAAATTCATTAAATGTTGCATATTTCACAGATTGGAACGGCTAATCTAGGCAAATGGAATGAAATGGGCAATGGATTCGGTCGAGATTTGAACTTTTGGAATGCATGCAGTCACCCCAACCGCTTACACCGCCACCTCATCGAAACCATTTCCCAGTTTGGTTTTTGAAACATTTTAAACTCCCACTGGCCGATCCTAGCCGATCATGAGGTAATCAAGCAAGCGAAAACCTCGGAAAACATTTCTCTATTGAGACCAAACTTGAACTTTTCTTTGATTCCTGTCACTACCATTGCAATCCATTAACTCATTTTACGTTGTATTCAATCAGTTGAATTGAAGGAGGATTATGATTGTTCAATTAAAAATACGATATACCTGATTAAAAGACACCACGTAGAGTACGAGTGTATTGCCTACAATAGCAGCCACCCAGACTAAGCAATACAGTACGCAAAAGACGAGCCGGACTGCTGTCAGGTCGATCGTCTCGAACATGGTATCTTGGATACGTGTACAGTTTGTTGACATATCTGAAATATTTCGAACCATAAATAGAATGTAGCCGTGGTGCCTGTCTGACGATGATCGAGCACGAACAAAGGTATCTGTTGACGAGAAGATAATCGAAACCCAGAACAAGTAGTATTGGAAATATTCGATGGCAGGACAAACAGATTGGTGAACTGAAAAAGGAAATGAGCTCGAGTAACAATTTCCTGTGAATCACGGGATTCAGCGTAACACATATGTTATAGCAATTTCAGGTAATAACCATCGATCACCATTTTACCGCCTAATATCACCAATTCTAATTGGGAAATAGATTCTTTTCTTCATCATACTGCAGTCCAGTAATTGAATGTAAATGACTATAACATTGTTATAGAGTCGAGCAATAATATTTAATTATCTCTCTTATTTATAAAGCAGAAACTTGGTGTGTCGGTTTGTCGGTTTGTGTGTTTGTCGGTATGTCGGTATGTCGGTGTGTCCGTCCGCAAAAGTTTATGATTACGATAAGGGAGTGATATGGAAAAGCCAGCTCTATCCTACATTCCTCTACATTTCTACACTTAAGGGGGGNTGATAAATGTAAGGAATGAGGGCCCGGCGTAAACCGGGCAGCCCAACTGGTAATAGCATATAATGTATGGTAGTGATTTTAGTACCCAATAATGATAATTTGAATGAGTTACCACTTATTATCACTTCCACCGAATCTTTGTTGGAGAGCTTCTTTTGTGAATTTTTCTGTTGATGAGTAAACCCGGGTAAGCATACTTTTAAGCGGTATATTGGAGCAATAATAATAAGTAATAATGGCTAGTGATTATAGGTAATAATCAATACAATAATGTACTTCAACAATAATAATAGTAACAAAATTAGAAACATCAATAGTGTTGTTAAGCTCAATTGTATATAGTAATCCTATATGTTATTAAGTTTACCATCAGTATTGATATTATCAGCAATGATAACTAGTGATAATATGTTGTAATATATGATATAATATATTCAGTCAAAGTAGTAAAATCACAATCAGTTTTTGCGTCAGATCAGGGGAGAAGTGATATTGATAATTAATTTCTAAGCTGCACAAAAGCAATCTATAAGATGACGTCTGTTTGTAAACATAACAGTTTCAAAAGTCTTGAAGGGTAGCTCGAGGCGTGAGGGATTGCCCCAACCGCCGTGGGATGCCTCTGAAGCGATACGGGTAGAAAGAAAGAGAAGGCGGATTATTTCCCCATACAATAAATTATTACGAAAATCGTGGGCTAGAAACGTCTCTAGCGTTAAATAAATATGCATCAGACCCTAGTCCTCCTGGCAACGAGGTAGAAACGAAGACTTTTCGTGATTGTTTTCAATCTGACTCAGGTACAGCCATTCATTTATTCCAAGGCAGGTTCTACATTAGTGATTGATAGTGGGTACAAGGTTCTAGCTAGAGAATGAAGGGAAATACTCGCTTGGATAGTTCTCAACATCAAATCTTACTTCGTACAACGAATTAACTGAAAATACATATAAAATGCCGTCTCAAAGCTATAACAGCTATATGCCATCTCAGTTCAGTGCAGGTAAGTCTTACCCGTACCACTGGCCAGTCCTGAGTATTTGCTATGGGCTAGGTAGTGAGGCCCATACCCTCCCTTCTAGCGCAACTGGAAAACATCCGCCTCTTGAGAGACGACCCTGTAATTCCATTCAAGACCGAATCCCTCACCACTCTTTACCTGTATCCCAGAAGCTTCTTAGTAATAATAATACTGGTATTTATATTATTAATTGTAGTTATAATTACAAATGGGGGTGATTAAATAATATAAATAGTTAAGTCCTATTGTAGGAGAAAAGGAACGTAGTCAGAAATCAGTGACACTTTTCAGGAATGCGACCGTTTTCATGTTGAGCTGTTGAGCAGAAGGCAACTCAGCACTCCGAAGACTAATGTGTTTTTGAGCCATACGCTATTACGTTGTCACGCAAGAGTGATATTTTCTCCCACGGCCACCGGAGATTTTTCATGGGAAGTCATAAAATCACCCCATTTAGCGGCGCATTGGGAGGTGCTTTATGAACTTGGATAAGTCTTAGGTGATCGCTATCATTCCAGCCTGCTCCTATTCAATGTCCTCTAATTCTCATCTGGGATTTGGTTTACAAAACAATTTTGATAGTGTCCAAAGGTGTCCTTTTTTATTTTTCTGCTCCCCCAAGATCCTCTTTCAGGTGAGGACTTCAGGTGGGGATTCAGTTTAGGGCATTCAGCTTTGCTCTGTACCTTCGACTAAATCAAAGTGTTTACTCCTTCAACGGGAAGTTGTTTACAGATACACTTCGAGTGGTGATACATTTTCGGGTGAATATTCATGCCAAAGAAAACTAATTCGGAGTTATTCAAGATCCAATTAGCAAAGAAGCTCTGAAATTTTGAGCAATACCAGAGATTAGCTCCATCGCATGAAAAGAGGCACCTCCCTGTTTATTAGTTGACAATTATAAAATTGTAGAAAAAATCCGGAAAAATTCAACTAACACGCAGGCAAGTTTGGGGAGAATGGAAGCCACGCCCACACCCAACATCGGAATGGTGACGGCTGAGATTACGGTCAAACAGAAAAATCGTTCCATTCCATCTGTCTGGCTTTCCTACTCACTTAATCCGTCAATCAAAAAGTGAGCTTGCACGAGCGGCATCAGAGACAGACGTGTAACTTCCCTTTGAA